TGAGGGTGTCCACAGGTGCTGCCGGTGTGTCCAGAGCCATATCTAGCAAGAACCAATGAATAATGACGATGTAAATTCATCCTGGTAATGCGCAGCAAGCTATTCTAACTAAATTTTGAAAAAACATAAACGGAAGTTTAGATGTTGAGTACCTCAACTTCAACATTCATCCCAAGTTGTTTGGGATAAACTGTTAATGACTTAAGAAATTTAAACACCCAGCCTGTGACACAGTCCAGAAAATGGTCACCTAATTATGAACTGTCTAGAGATGTGCTCAGGTTTTACTGAAAAGGCAGTTAAATGTGATGTGCTTTTTAAAAATTTAACAAGCAGGCTGCTTTATTCAATTTGATATCTTAGAATGCCATCTTTACTGCACCTTGTTTGAATCTTTGTCTCATTGTTGGAAAATATGGCACATTGTCCCAGTTTGTGTCTAATTTTAGGAGTGCTGAACAACAGTTTCCTGATTTGGGGGGATAAAAACTGTTTTGATAACATATGAACACACATTGAAGACGTTTTTAATACTTTGAGTTGTTAATTTGTGGAAGTTTGCAGGGAAAATGTTTGGAAATTTGCTGCATGAAGTTGGTTCTTGTTATTTATATGCAGTCATAATTTCCTTCTTTGTTTAATATCGGCTTAGGCTATTTAAGTAAAAGGCAGTGTACATGTTGTAAGACAGGTCTTTGCAAAACAAACTTTGGTTGGAGTAAGGTTTATTTCTATTCCTTTATATGACTTTTAGGTTAATTCATTCATTTGTGTTCAAAACTATGACTTGAAACATTAATCTTGACCTGAATCACACTACAACAAAACATGACTCCAATATCAGCTTATTGTCATCAAGGAACAATTCTGTGGAGAATTCCACACGTAATGAATATGATTGTACATGATACGTGTAATTCATAAGGATTTCTGTGAGGCATTTGAGATAATTATTATTGATTTTTTCCTGAGTACATATTCTTTTGTAATTGTTTTTATTGAAATAGCTTTCATGTTTGATCTTATTTCAAAAGTAAATATAAT